TTAATAGTCTGATTTTCTTTAACTTATACTCGGTCTATATAAAAAATGTGAGAGGGATCTGAGACATATTTTCTAAGCTGAGAAATATAAAAAACACTGTAGAGATTGAAAAAGTGATGTGGAAGGGAAAGTTGGTATGTAACTGGCCCTATTTTCGGAGTATTTGAAATGGACCAATGTATCAAGGATTTAATTTCCTAACTTTGAGAGTCATGACTCAAGCCTACACCTGTAGTAGGAGAAAATTTTAGAAAGACATGTTCTCCCTCAAAAGCCAAAGGTTTCTGCCTGTTATCAGTATAACTTTTCTGTCTCCTTTAAGCTTTTTCAATTTTCTTTGATCATCTAACTTTGTCTCAAGGTTTCTTAGACAAATTACAATCCCAACAATTATTGTTCCCTTTTTTCATACCAACACACTCGAGAACTATATTTCTAATCCATAAAGTGCCTCATATGGAGCCATTCTAATACTAGAGTGGTAACTATTGTTATAAGCAAACTCTATTAATGGCAATTATTTATCCCAGCTACCTCCTCGTTCAAGAAAACAACCTCTTAACATATCCTCTAAAGTTTGAATGGTTCTCTCAGTTTGACCATTAATTTAAGAATGATAAGTTGTACTAAGTCTCAACTTAGTTCTAAAGGCTCGCTGCAGAGATCCCCAAAATCTAAAAGTAAATCTAGGGTTTCTATCTGACACAATACTTAAAGATACTCCACAAAATTTAATAATTTCTTTTATACACAATCAGGCTAACCTCTCAATAGAATACTGGGCTCTAATTGGTAGAAAATGAGCATATTTGGTTAATCGATCAATGATTACACAAAATGCATCACATCCCTCTTGAGTTCTTAATAAACCGATCACAAAATTAGTGGCTACACTTTCCCACTTCCACTCTGGGATATCTAATGGCTGAAATAATCCTGAAAGCTTTTGGTGTTCAATTTTTAATTTTTGATAGACTAAACATTTTGAAATATACTTGGAAATATCTTTTTTCATTCCTGGCCTCCAAAACATCTTTTTTAAATCCTGATACATTTTAGGGGAACCAGAGTGAATTGTGAACTTACTGCTATGTGCCTTATCCAAAACTTCTATCACAATATCTTCTTTCTTAGGTACAACAATCATTTCTTGAAATTTCACCAAACTATCTTCCTCTTTGGTAAATCCTTTCTGTTCCATAAAATTTTCAAAATCAGAATCCTCCTGCTAAGCTTCTCTAATTTTATCTATTAGCCCATTATCCACTCTTATTTCACTAATACCTAAACTTTGAGGCAACACAGTCACAGATAATGTCATATCTCTGAATCTTTCTAATAACTCCATTTCTTTGATAATTAAATGTGACACGCGTAGAGACTTTCTACTTAAAGCATCAGCTATCACATTTGTTTTTCTTGGATGGTACTTAAGTTCAAAAACATAATATTTCAAAAAAAAATTTTCCATCTCCTTTGTCTCATATTTAACTCTTTTTTATCAAATAAATATTTAAGACTCTTATGATCACTAAAAACCTCAAATTAGACCCTATACAAGTAATACCTCCAAATTTTAAGTGCAAAAACTACTGCAGCCAATTCTAAATTATGAGTTGGATAATTTTCCTCATAAAGTCTCAATTGTCTTGATGCATAAGTTACAACTTTTCTTTCTTGCATTAAGACACATCCTAATCACTTTCTAGATGCATCACTGTAAACTTCAAATTTTTCAATGGGTCAAGAATTATCAAAATTAGTGCAGATATCAATTTATTTTTAAAATTTTAAAAACAATCCTTACACTCTTGTGTCCACACAAAAGGAATTCCCTTCCTAGTTAAAAGTAATACTAGTTGTAAAAATTCCTTAATAAACATTCTATAATATGCTGTCAATCCTAGAAAACTTTTGATTTCTGTTGCGACTTCGGCAAGTGCACCGGTCGTAAAAGTAATAAAAGTGTATTGAGTACGAGATCGTTCCCACGAGGATTGGTTTTCAAGCACTAGTTCGCTAACAATGATTTAGTTGGACAACAAAGATTGAGATGAAGAGAAGTGAAATTAAAAATAATTAATAACATGCAAATTAAAATTCAAAATTAGAAAGCAATTGAAAAGATGATTGATTAAGATTTAAAACAAGCACAGTTAGGGTTTCGACTTTTCCCAATCTCCTCTATATGCTATGAATTATACTGTCAAGAATCTTCTTTTAATATAATGTCAATAAATTCTTTCTAAGTTAATTATGGTTCAATTCCTTGTTACCCTAAATCTATGTGATCTTGAAAGAACTCTAGTTCTCCGATTATTCCCAGAGAAAACATGCATTAAGATCAAAAATTTAAAGATTGCACAATTGCCCTATGTCTATCCCTAGATCACAAGGATTGTGATAAATTTAGCAGATCAGGGTTCATGCACCAACAACCTTATTGCCATACAATTCCCCTAAATCAATCTATAAGGAGCAAACTAATAGAAAGCATTAAAGACAGATAAATTTATTCAAATATAAAAAGAGAAGAATTCAGAGACAATTTAATTCATAAACATAAGGATTCAATTGAGTTTCATCTATCCCTAACTACAGAAAAACTTAGCCTAACATACCGAATTCAAAAGCAATAAGAAAGAAAATAGTTCCCCAAGCCTCCATTGGTGTGATGTTTACTTGGTTCCCCAGTGCTCCAACGCTCCGCAACAGGATTCCTCCTTTGGGTCTCTGTGTATTTCCCGTGGTGTGTCTGTGAATGAGTGATTGAATTGACCCCAAGCTCCCTGTTTATAACCTTTGAAGTCATATCTTTTAATTCTTCATCAAATCTCCACATGAATCTCTATCAATTCCCAATCAAATCTTGATTTATTTCTGTTTTTATTTAAGATCCTGCAGATTGGGTTGACTGGGCTTGCATTGGTTTCTTTTGGTTCAGATTGAGCTTCAAATATTTTGTTATGATTCTTTGATCACTTCTTAGCACCAAATCTTGTGGATTTTTCTTCAAAATATGCAAGATATCAAAACATTAGCTCAATTTTTAAATCTTTATGATTTTATCATATAACACCTTGAATTCCATGCAATCTACCATATAATTCTTGTAGAATTTAGCATAAAAACATGGTAAATCAAGAATTTATCAATTTCATTGTGGTCTTATATCTCTCCCAGTGTATTATAGTTGAGATTTTACTAGGATCAACTAACACTCCTTCTTTTGATATAACATGCCCTAAAAAGCTTAGAAAATGTTGAAACGGCGCAAGAAGCGCCAAATGTTGTCTTATAATGGCGCAATATGCGCCAAAATGATGCAAGAAGAGTCGAAACAGTATGAATGAAACACTGATTTACGAGAACAGCGTAATAATTAAAAATAAATAATAATAATAAAATAAAAATAAAATATTAAAAAATACAATAATAATAATATAGTAAATATGAATACAAAATTTAAAATAAATAAATATCAAATTATTAAAATATTAAAATAACGTGATAATAACAAGTAAGGAATATGTAGAAGTACCTATTTAAGCCAAACAGAAAATTCTTATCAATATGAATGATTAGTCAGATAGATTTTTTTTTAGAATCTTATTTATATGCAATGATTAGTTAGTTAATTTTTGTTTTAGAAAAACGTAAAAGAAAAAAAATCAACATATGTGTTTGTGCGTATTTTTGTTTTTAGAAAAAACGTAAAGGAAAAAAAAGTCAACATGTGTGCGTATATTTGTTTTTAGAAAAAACGTAAAGGAAAAAGAATCAACATGTGTGCGTATTTTTATTTTTAGAAAAAAAGTAAAGGAAAAAAATCAACATGTGTGCGTGTGTCTGTGTATGTGTGCCCTCATAGGAAGGAAGGAAAACATGAGGAGAAAAAAAGAAAGGAAATAGAGAGCCGAGAAAGAAACGTCAGACTCTCGAAAGAAAAAGGAAACAGAAAAGAGAATAAGGAAGCCGAGATAAAGGAAAGGAGAAATAAAAAAGAAGAAAAGAAGGAATTAGGGGACATAAAAGAGGAAGATAATATTGAGAGAGAATCTTTTTTTTTGGTGTGGGGCACTGCCCAAGACATACTGAATGATTCTGATGTGACTGACTAATAAGGAGATAATATGGTTATAGGATAAAAAACGCCTTATCATGGCTTGAGCTCCGCTATACAGAACCTTTAACATACATAATTCACATAATTTGAGCATTAGTCATTTCTTTTTAAAGACTATACTTTTCTTTATATGTTTATATGTAGAACCCACAAAGGTTTGGGTATACCGTAGGCCCATAAAGGTTTGAGTATGTCAATGAAGAACTCACAAAGGTCTTGCTTATATATATATATATATTCATGATATTAATTTCTTATTATAAACATATTTTGAGAGAATTATATTTTCCGCTAAAGTGACTGAATTGATTATAGTTCGAAAATTCCAATATTACTGAGATTTATCTCATGTTTGTATATTTTTATGCTAACTTTTTCAGAGAATAAATAAGTGAGCATGTGTAACATTGGAGTATAGTAAAGCACTATGGTTACATTTAGGGTAAAATTAATTATTCTAAAATTAATTATTATTATTATTTAGGATAATTAATTTTATTTAGCTCTATAAATTTTTATGGTCAGATTTTGTTTTTGATAGACAAAACTATAAAATATAAAATAAGGCTAAAATAGATAAATTAATTTAATAACTAATAGTATTAAATATGAATTTGGATGGAAAAAAATTACAGAAAATAATTAATAAGAAAAAAAAATAAGGGTGAAAGTGTAATAATAGACAAATTATTATTAGGGATTTATTAAACTCATGTTGCATGAGATAATTATCTCATACAACAGAGATAAGATTACAAGGTCCACTACTTTTTCAAAAAATAATAATAATAATAATAATAAACTCCACAATTTTATATAATTATTTCAGTTATTATTATTATTATTATTATTATGTTGTGCAGATCAACATTACTCTTGAGTGTTTATTTATAGGAGTAGTACCGGCAAGGAGCAACGCTACGCTGGCTGTAAAAGCAGTTCAGAGTTTACACTTCAGAGAGAGTCGCTTCCTAATCCCCAACCTCGAGTTTCTCTTCTCAATTTCTCACAGGTCAACTATACCTACCTCTCTTTCTTTTTCTTCTTTATCGACATTGCAATTGCAATTGCAATTGTGTGTGAATTATTCTCTTCTCGAAAACCCATCCATAGGCATGGCATAGCATAGCATAATAGCTTACCTTGTTTATACATCATTTTAGGGTTTTCTCTCTGATTTCCCCTTTAAATAGCGCATGTTTCAATAATGTTCCTCGATCTGATTATTTGATTATTTAGATTCATTTTTATCATTATTATTATTTCTATGCTTCGTTCGCTACTGCCGATGTTTCCATGTTTTTCCAATTAGACTTATGCTATTTTGTGTGGTTTGGAGTTCATTTTGTTTTTTTGTTTTTTCTGGATCGATTATCATCTGGTCTTACTGTGGAAGTGGTTCAGCGATTTCAACTTGTTAATAATACCATTACTGTTTCCAGCAACGGATAATTATATTATGCATTCTTTTTTAACGGTGGATTTTTATTTTTATTTTTTTAAATTACATATTAAAGAAAAATGAAATAATGTTAAATGAGGTGTTCTAGAAATTTATCATCAGTAAGCCCCCAGTGGCAAATATACGCTGTGTACTTTTTTTTTATTTTTTTTAAAGCATTATGATTTTTAGAAATTTAGAGTTAGACTCCTATCAAAATTTAGGGTTAGAAATTAGAAATTTCCAAATTTAGAAATTTGGAAAGGATTCCTATCAAAATTGCGTTTTAGTGGAAGTTAAATTGTATTTTCCCTGTTCTGTTTCAGAGGTAAATGCTTGTAGTGTGGGATGTTGTGATCTAACTGCATCTTCTGGCATGAGTAATGGGTAGTAGTGATTTGATCATTGATCGAAGGTATAACTTTTGTCTTCCTTTCGCAATTTTTTGTTGCTGTGCAGAGAAAATCATGGTGGACCCTGCAGAACGTAGGTACTTGGAAGAAGAGGATTCTTCCCTAATGAAAACTATCAAGGGTGCAACAACTGGTTTAGTTGCTGGCACTATCTGGGGTACTGTAGTTGCCACCTGGTATGATGTTCCTCGGGTTGAGAGAAATGTTGCTCTTCCTGGGCTGATAAGAACTTTTAAGATGATGGGCAACCATGGGTTGACATTTGCTGCCATAGGAGGAATCTTCATAGGTGTGGAACAGTTGTTGCAAAACTATAGGATGAAAAGGGATCTGTATAATGGAGCTATCGGTGCTTTCGTTGCTGGTGCAACTGTTTTTGGTTACAAAGGTGCCCTTTCCTCTAACAAATATTTATGCCAGAGAATTTGCATATTTTAATATCTAGATTTTAGAATCTGGCTACTCGTATTAAGCTACTGATTTGTTGTTGATAATAGTGAACAAAGTTCAATCAGTGCTTTGTATATTTTCTCCCATAATCTAATTTAGGCATGATAATGGAGAAGCATCATATAAACAAGGACTTGATCCAGTTCATTCTGAAAATTAGTGTATTTGAACTTTATGTTTTCTCTTCTTTTATCATGATTATGTCATTGTGCTAGATGGCCACTGGTGCTTTTAATGTCTGCCAAGGAAGCTAATCTATCGTTGGCTTTTGTTGGGTTCCTTTGGCTAGCAAGTATTGATCTTCTTGTGGTTGTGTGTCTGTTTTTCTATGTGCATGAGGGGGGTATCTTTGGCCAATCCTTTCATTCCATATCTCTTATGTTATTTCAGCTAGTTCTAGAAAGCTTGTTGATTTTATGGCAATGAATCTGACATTTATGTTGACATCTTGTGCTTTTTTGCTGTCATTCAGGGATCCTTGTATTTGGAGGTTTCTTGTATTTGGAGGTTTTTTGTCACAAAAGACAGGCTATGAATTATACTTTCTGAATTGCTTTCATTCAATTGTACTTGGTCCATTGGTTGGTAGCATGATGTTCTAGTAAGAACATGAAATAGATTTTTTTTTGGGTGCTAGGAGATTATATTATGACCCTTGTTATAGTTTGCAGAGGCTCACTTTTAATTTTATTGCCTCATGTAACAAATTATAATGCTTCAAGTAAACATGGAAAATAGTGATGTCGGTGATTAATTTCTTTTCTTGCTATAAGTTTTAAGCAGTATTATACTTATTTCATGCATTCAAGGATGCTCTTCCACATTGTTTCTGCTTTTCTATGTTTATCTCTATGTTTGTGTATACACTTAAGCTGCAAGTTTCTCCAATCATGTAAAGCGGCCTTGTACTGTGTAAAAGAGTTTATTGCATTGGATTATGCTAGCTCATTGAATTATTTAGTTCAACGATATGTGCCTAAAATCTTCAAAAGGAACAATCTTGGTGATAGATGGTTCTAATGACAACTCAATAATTCTTCTTGGCTTCTGAGTCCGTATATAGTTATTAATAACTATTTGATGCAATTTACCAAAAAAAAAAAAAAAAAAACTATTTGATGCATCTAATTGTTTTTTTGGTTACAGTCCTATTTACTTGCTGGGATGTAAGATATCTCCAAATATCTGTAATTAGTCAAGACTTGTTTATATCTTTTTACTTTAAAAGTTCTGACTTCTTTATTACTTATGTTGCTCTATTTGTTCCTTTTTTCTAAATGTTTTTTAGTTTCTTGTCATCACTATTGACTTATACTGCTAACCTTTCAAGTTTTTTCTGAGTTTCTCCACTTGTGTGCATATATAGGGCATCATGTCAAGTTGTTTGATCCTAATCAACTACTTTGTACATGGACTACCCGTGATTTTCATCATTTGCATTTTTTTCTTCTTGTGAACCGCATTGGATCTACTTTAAACATGCTTACTGAGGATGGTGTTCAACCCTTCCTTTATAACCTTATTAAGAGTGCTAAGTTACCTTTCTGGACCTGATGAATTACTAAACCAGGATTACGAACTTTATAATCTAAATTAGTCTCCCTGGATCTGACTTTTTTTAACAAGTTTATCTGCTGTCCACTCTGTTGTAGGAAGGAGCATCTCGACTGCAATTTCAGCTGGATCAGCACTGGCATTCACATCTGCATATATTGATTTCGGAGGTCAGAAATTAAAACATGATGATGATGTTGAGTACGCTGCTTACACAGTAAAGAAAAGACCTCGTCCTGATGCTGATGCATAATTGTTAATTAATGCACCTTTATGACCGAAGACATTTCAAGTTGATAGGAGAGAGTGGATCACTCTTTGTTGAGCTTGTTGTTTGTTTTCTGAGTTGGAATGACATACTGGGCTGTCTTTCCATAATTTTCTTTTCTAAGTTGCTGGTGCTGAACTGGTTCAATTCCAATAAATGTGCTATTGTGTTAATCTAAATTGCATGTTAGTCCTCCGTGGCCATAAATTACCTAATAGTCCATTTTCTTCCATGGGATGAAGTGATGAACATTATATATGAAGCTGAAACGTGTGGTAGAGCTTGGTGTTGTAACTTTAAGATTGTCAATACAATTTGAATAAGGAATGATGTCTTGAGGTATGTTGATACTGCACCCAACGGTTTTAGTCACGTGTTTTTGCTTTTCAACCATTTAGAAATGATATAAATGGTGTGGCAGAGACCTGGTGCCGGGTGCCGGAACAAATCTTTCGTGCAATTGATGCATTGAAGTTTAGTGCAATTGTCATTCATTTATTCTAGAATACGTAGGCGGATTTTTGGATGCTAGAAATTTATACGAATCTGCCTACGTAGTCTAGGATAAATGAATGACAGTTGCACTCAACTTCAGTGCATCAACTTCAGTGCATCAGTTGTATTAAATTTCAGGTGCATCAGTTGCATGAAGATTCGTTCCTGGTGCTGACTTATTGTTCAGATTCTTTGGCAGCCTTCTGCATAATTACGTCTACGCGCATAGCTAACTAGCAACTTATTATGAATCAAGAATGGGTGGTCTTGAAATAGTTTGATCAATACCGGAGATTTTCATGTTATCTATAAAGATACTGCAAGGTTTAAGCCAATTTCATAATAAAAAAAAATTGATTAGAAATACAAGGGATGTTATATTTACAATTTCTTATAATTAAATTTTAATCGTTGATTTTCGTTAATTTAATGATTATCGTTTATTGGGATATATTTATTAATTAATTATTAATTCTCAATAAATAATAATGGTCAGATTAATAAAAATTAATAGTTAAGATCTGATGGTAAAATATTATAAGTGAAAAGAAGTTATATTAGAAGTTATAAATATAACCGTCTCTTAAGTATAAAAGAAGGGACATAAGGTAGAACTTTAATACACGGTGGGATTTCTACGATTTAAGTGGGTTCATGCCATTGGGCTCGGACTTACAGGTTAATCTCAGGCTCAAATGGGCAAGTAGCCCTCAAGACATAAGATACTTGGTCCTAGCTCTAAAGAACCGTAAGATATAATATTCCCCGAAGGGTTTCGACAATTGCTTAGTTTCTTCTTTGTTTGGGCATAGGCCCACGAATGTATTAAAAACAATAATAAGCATGAGAGGGTTTTGTAGAAGGGAATTATTATTCTTATGCTGTAGGAGATATGGTATCTTATGTGATAGACTCAACATGTGTGAGCTCCATTAATTTTTTAAAAAAAAGAAAAAAGACAAGCACGGATATCGAAGGGTCAGTAGGAAAAACTCTCTATCTTATGTTACATGAGACTAACTTAACCCTTTGTAGAAATGTAATTTTGGTTGCATAACAATGATTCAATTATATAATAATTTTGATCTTCCATTAATAAAAAAAGTTACACTATTATACACTCATATATTAGCATATTATTGTGGATACAAATTAAAATCATTTTTTAATGTTGTGATATTGCCTTTAATGTGTTATATTGTTCTTGCCTATTTGTTTACTTGTGTTTAGCATGTGTATATTTTAGCCCCAATGTTTTGAAGTTTATTAGCCGTATTGTATTTTATTGTGCTAAAATCAATGGTTCCCTGATGTATTGTTTACCAAATCCTTTATTTCCGGAACCCACATCTAAATTCTTTATTTTTCATGTCATTTATAAAAGCTAAGATTACGGATGCATATATCCGCAGGATCATAGTTAGTTGCCACGTGGCGGAAAACCATTGCTGATCCCAAATTTCATGGCCCACTAAATTAAATCGTTGGCTAGGGTGTGTTAATTTCAAAGCCTAGTTCACATCACAAGGATAAGAATGACACACTGAATTTTCATTCAATGGCAGGAACTTGTTACTACACCTCCTGTCTTTCCTCTTCCAGGTAACTCATCTTACGTTTGATTTTTCTTTAACATATGTTCAATGGTTTTAGTGTTAGAATAACAAATTCATAACATGAAAACAAGCAATTCTATTCTATCTTGGGAATTTTCTCAGATTTCCAGCATTTAATATTTTTAAAATCTCTGCCATGCAAACTAATCATCTTGATGTAAACAATGAAGGGAAAGTTCAGTTAAGTGTTTAAAAATCTATGTGGACATGGTTGTGAGGGATTAAGGTTGTGTTTTCAGCAACTTAGGGACATGTTGGTTGGTATTAAAAACTCACAATGCAAGGGCCGTGCCAGGGAAGCTACCTAGAAGGAGAAGTTTGACAATAAAAGCAGAAGTTGAGTATGTAAGTGCTGAAAAAGCGAAGGAGCTTGTAGCAATCGATGGATATTCAGTTCTGGATATACGGGACAAGACTCAGTTTGAACGTGCTCATATAAAATCATGTTATCATGTGCCTCTTTTTATTGAAAATCAAGACAATGATCTCGGTATGGAATTTCTCCTTCCAAAAAGGTTTTATATATGCATCTTTTGTTTTTCGATTTTAGTACTTCATCACATTCACTTTCTGTAGGTACAATTATAAAGAGGACTCTTCACAATAATTTTTCCGGCTTGTTCTTTGGATTACCATTCACTAAGCTAAATCCTGAGTTTGTAGAATCTGTTAAGAGCCAGTTTACACCTGAAAGTAAACTCTTGGTTGTATGTCAGGAAGGACTGAGGTTAGTATATGATTTACTAACTTATTTGATTGCTAATTACACCCCAAATGTCCATGGTCATATGGTGATAGGAAGCTTTCATTGACATTCTTCTTACTAGCATAGAGACCTCAATTCTGCTTTAGTTTGTTTATTCTTTATTTATGATTGGCTTCCAAAATTACGTCCTCAGAACGTGCATGATCCAGCAATATAATCATTGTGTACAGTCTAAAATCTAAATGTCAGATGAATGAGAATCTGGAGATTTAGCCTTGGTCCGATTATTCAATATTAGTTGGCCACTTAGCAGTGAAAGAAGAGATTGCAGTGTTGTCCTATGAAGGTATGAGCTTAGAAGAGGTGCCAAATACCCATGTTGTATTTGAGAGTGTGCTTTGCATGTAGTGTAACTTGGAATTAAAAACTCATTGAGAAGAGTGTTGTGGATAAAAATCATTCTTTGGCTTTGCCAAATATCTTAACATTTAGGACGATTTAGATTTTGACAAAGAGAATGGCAATAACTACTTCTGGCAGTGCATGCATGGAATGCTGTCAAATTTCTGAGTTGAATGAGATGGATGGCTTATGTGAATAAAACCTTTATCTGAGGTGTACTTGTTTCTGTATAAAGGAAGATGAAGGTTCATTTATCTTGAATAAGAAGACAAGATCAAGTTTTGTATAGATGCATAAGATTCAAGAGGTTAGAATGAAAAAGGTGACCTTCACCAGAACTCAGTTTACTTTAGCAAACCACCTGAAGGCATTTGCAGAAAATACCTTTGAAGGAAAGTGTGTTTAGATAAAAGTATGTAATAATAGAGATCATCATTTTCAGCCTCACAGTGATTTAAATTTTCGTATTCTAGATGTGATACTAGAGAAAGTTACCTAAATTATTTACTAACAAACAAGCATTATGTGAGTCTGAGGGTTCTTAGCAAAAACAGTCAATGACTTTAGTGTTTGGGTGATAGTTTGCTGATAAGAATAGTGATTTGGGCTGGTAAATCTCTTCTGAACCAACATAGTGTTCTGCATAAATCTTTATGAATGTTAGAGTTGACTTTAGTAAATTATCTTAGTCAATATCTCATGGACTTCAACATGTCTTTCATACGGGGACAAAAAGATGCATCAAATTCCTATAATTTTGCATCCTTGGACTTTCGTTGTACTTGCATTGAGTTTTAATATCCTAATCTAAGAAATTGAGATTTTCTTTCTTCTTTGTCAAGGTCTGCTGCAGCAGCAAATAAGTTAGAGCAAGCTGGTTTCTTAAATATAGCAAGCATAACATCTGGCCTTCAAACTGTGAAACCAGGTTTAGTAATTCATTGACTCCTTTTTTTCGAAGTCAACGTAAAGTAGCTTGTAGGATAAGAATCGAAATATTTCCATTCTGTAGGGACATTTGATTCTGTTGGCTCCACGGAGCTGCAGAATGCTGGCAAGGCTGGTTTGGTGACAATCCAAGGGCAAATCTCAACTGTGTTGGGAACTGTTCTTATTTGTAAGTTCTCAATATCTTTTATCACAGTTTCTTGATGCTTGTGTTGACTTTTCTTTGTTTTATGAAATTTTCAGGTGCATTTTTATTTATTACCTTCTTTCCTGAGCAAGCAGAAAAGCTATTTCAAATGGCCCCCGCAGGCTAAGCCTAAAAGTCCCATTAATTGTAGTCTTTCTTGATTTTGTTTTACCTCGCTCATTATGTTTGTAGCATAATTGAGGAACGGGGATTAGAATTGAGGAACATAAAAACATTAAATATGTAAGAAGTGATGGAAGAGTAATGTCAGTATGGCTATAAATATGATGGTAAAAAAACTAAATTGTTTATTCTACCGTGGTAGTATTCTCCATTCCGTTATTTAAGATATCAGTTATTTTGGATGTAGGTTATTAGGACAATATGTTGAGCTGTGTTCCTTGTACTGCATGGCAGAACCCAATAGATTGCCTTCAGTTATTTAAGATAGCCTTTTTTCTGCTTTCCTTCTTCTGCTAAAGAAAAATAAGAGTTAAAGAGGTGCTTTTAAGATTCAGAGGGTGATTGATATGATGCTTTATCTGTGCATTATGTTTCAAGAAACGTGGTGAGTCAAATATAAGAATTATTCATCATGTTTTTTTAATTGTCTTTTTTTAATAACTCAAACTTTTGAAATAATTAATTCGTAAGAGATGGCTGATTGAATGACTTTATGATTAAGGATTTACTGAGCGAGTCAATATGTGGTTTTCTCAATCAATTTAGTAATATAAGAGGCTTACGAGATAATATAACGTTTCATATAACATTCATATGATAACGAGAGGAACATCTCAACATCACGAAACCCACATTTACCATGCTGTCAGTCCCGTCTCGTTATTAATCCTAACCTCCATTTACGTTTCCCCTCTAACCTAAATGGAAATAATAGTGGAGACAAAGACAAAAGGTATTAGCAGTATCTGGGGGCAAAAAGAGACTTATTATCAAGTTAAAAAATACAGCGATAAGCTACGTACATTGAACCAAAATTAAGTCATTTATTGTCCTAAAGCTATCTCCCGCACATTGTAAATCAGACATGTTAATGCTACACAGTGAATTTACAGAGCGTAGAGAACCCAAGTACACAACAGAAATTCCCGGAGAGTTCAATTAAATGGAAAAACTCGAAGTTGCAAGACTAGCAGTACACTAGATCTTGGCAGGTGGAATTTTTCATGAAGGCCATTGATTTAGGCTAACAAAATATTACAGTAATTATTTTCACAAAAATAAATAAATAATACAATCAGATTAGCAACTGTATTTTCATTCCATTCTGTGCACCGGAGATGTCACCGCATAAATGGGTGGGCATTCTAATTCACGTCATCTGATCTCAGCTACCTATGGGGCCAATAGAATTGGCAATAGGAATTGAAGAGGAGGTTCAAAAAGGAAACCAGAAACATTGGTCCTGTACCATCATTAACTGCACCATTGCATCGTCTGACAAAGATCAATCGCCTTGTAGACAGTAAAGCTGACGAATGTTCCCGGAAGCTGCCACAACAGAAAACAAATTGTTAGCAATATCTTTTTAACTTCCTCTTCACAATAATTAGAGCAGCCAGATCAAAACTACAAAAACCCTCTGTTTGCAATATAGTTCTCATCAATTGTTTTCTGATAGACGCTAATTTAGGTCTGACACAAGCATTAATATTTATGTCCTCCCTTAACCCCATCAGTTGTTAGCATTGAGAATATATTCTGTATAAAATATCTGAAACCTATGTTATCCTATGATATGAACATGGATGCATGTATGCTTAAATCAGAGGAACGTAGTAAGGTGATTCTTGCTCAGTCTGCACAACTGAATGCTGGTGTTCCATCACGCCGAGAAAAATTAAATCCATGAAAAAGCCATAAATAAATAATAGAACATTGGCCATTGAATATTGCTCAGTGATATGGCTATTTAAATATACGAGATTATAAAATTAGAAAATCAAGAGGGTTGCTTGATTAAAATTTCAGAGAGACTCATGAGTGACGCTAAACAATTTCTCATCCAAACCAAAAGGCCAATGTCATTTCAAGAAAAAAATGGAAAATTCTGTGTTCCCTGTCCATTTGCAGTAATATTGACTGTTGGGAGATTGTTGAATGAAACTCAATATAGAATTCAATGGTCACTATAGAAATCTCCAAAAAACATGTGCAGAAAAAAATGATTTAATGGGAAAACAGAGTGCTCCTTGTAGATGTCAAAATTATGTTAGAATAAAAGGTACTAAAGAAAAAGAATGACAGTTACCATATAACCAATCCTTGAAGTACACATGGAGCGCAGATGACAATTCTCGCTTACGACTTTCTTCTAAAGGTGCTTCTCGTAAGAGTTGCCTTATCTCCCCTAAATTTTTTTGCTGTAGAGAATATACAATTTCATTAAAATTAAAACATAACTCACTTAGATACAGCTTTTTAATGTTTAAGCACCAAAAAATTTGGAAATCCAATCACTAATATTTCCATCAATTAACACTGTAGACATACATTTCTGTGCTGAGATGCCATATAAGCATCTGGTAATGTGAACGGGTTGTCTTTTGTAGACCCAGCGGACTCTTCTCCAAGCCAGCTTGGAATCTGCATGCCAACAATATGGACAAAAAAAAAAATAACTAAATAAAGAAGAAAGAAATATACACCTCGAGCATTCTCCATCCCCCAAAATTTACAAAACAGACAAGATACCATTAGTGAACATATTGAAATTCATCAAATGTATATTTAAAAATAAAAATATTCACTTCCCCTATAAGTCAGTATGAAAGAATAAGATTCATACCACAAAATTAGTGAACTGATCAGGGTCTACCCGTGTAGCAGACTCAGCTTGAACATCAGAGACACCTGCTGCATGAGATAATGAATCATGATGATCAATCATGCCCAATGCTAGAGGTTCATCCCATCGATTCACCGTGGGCAGAATTTCAACTTCATTCATATGCTCCTCCAAGTGGGAGTAAAAAGTATTATAGGGAGCCACCTGTTAACATTATGAGCAAGAAAGTTTTCAAACAATGAATCCAGTTGAGAAGAGCGAGCATTTATACATACATTATCAGAAGCTAGTACCACTAGAAGAAGCAGAAATGTGAACATAAAAAACAGACCTTTTGTAAAGGCCACAGACAAAATACCATATTTATAGTGATCTAAAACAATGGTTAAAAAATCTGCTATTAGATTTTGAAGATAAACTCAAGTGCTTGCTTGAAAAGCACCAAATATACTAATTTTGCAAAACTTTTTATGAGTTTATTCATTTCATCACTTAAAGCCTAATCATGCAGTTAAACTTCTATATCTTTTTCTCTACTATATTAATCACACCTTATCAATTACATCTAGGTAATAGACAATGTGTGCCCTGAGTTTTAAAATTTAATAATCAAAACACTAGTATTTAATGGAAAATAATACCAAGAAGTAAAATAAATTTAGTTAGACTAATAATGAAGCTCAAGCACGTCATATACCTACAAGTAAGATCCACAAACAAGCTCAAAGTAAACAACTTACAATCCAAATATTTTATTTATTCATGTATCACTGTCATGTGATTTGATAGTACTAGTAATTTCACAAATCAATCATTTTGTATTTTCTGGAGGGGATTTTCATATCAGGCTAAACACAATTCTGAAATTCCATAATTACATTCTCATGTAAGAGCCAACATGGAAGGGCAGAGCACCAACTTGCTAGCAACTTCATAAATCATGCAACAGTGAATGAAGAAGCTTACCTGCAGCTTATGGTTATCACCAAGAATAAGAGGTTGCTGGTTCACCCCCAAAAAGAAAACACATTCACGGCAGTTAGCAATACAAATACGTTTTGCTGCTACAATCACATGAACTCGTTCACAGTGTTCTACTCTCACAGCCTGTCAAAGAGGAAAAAAATGTCGATATCAACTTCCTGCCAATGAAGGCGCAAGCTATTCTAACACTCATGATAGGCAGAAGTTCAGTAAAATGCCTCCCCGTTACCAAGTCTTACCCGACATAGACAGCATGTGTATGCATAAGATAAGTAATGGTTATTAATATGCTGAGTAAATAATTTTGTTGCAACTTTTAAAGTAGAAGTTCTTTGAACTGGCAAGTGATTCCACAGATGATACATCCAATAATTAAAAAATAAAAAATCTGGCACCTTAAAGTAGCTGACACCTTAAGTAGCTTCACGAAAGGTGTTATATGATGGATGACAATCAGTTTAGGTAAGAATAATCAGAATGGCCAGAATCCATGTAACAAAATAATAAAACAGTTACTGTTACATGCATAATTGCAAGTGTGAATCAATAATTATCTTTTCTTGCACTTCTCATATACCTGGAAGGGCTGTCCACAAAGCACAGACAAGTTTAGGCATCAACCATCATCCCCCCACCCAAAGAAAGTTGAAGTCTTTACTTTTGCACATTAGTCTTTCTTAGTGATTGCCATCTCTTCATTTTTCATTTCTTCTCCATTCTTAAATATGAAGAGAGACATTGTAAATATATGTGTGTGTGTGTGTGTGTGAGAAAAGGTATTCAACCCAATAAAAACACATAGTGCTGATGACAACCTCATGTTCATAGGCATATCCAATTTAGTCATCAGAGTTTTTGACACTTCATATGGGACTCACAATACATGACACGGCTAAGATTCTGACTTGAGAAAAATAAAAGGATGCACATATATGTGAAAAAGAAAAAAAGAGCCAATGAGCAGCACTTCATATTCTTCAAGTCCCAATGTCTATTTCCTTATACTCATGAGTATCTTGGCAGTGTATGAATAAATGGAAGGAAAAAATAATTTTCCAAATAATGTCATATTGTCATACAACGGCTACAATCACCATAAGCATATGTTGGTTATAGTATTCTACAAGAATTTATCATATTCCAGGTTACATTAGTAAGACAATAACTAATAGAAAGAGCTATTTCCATTCCCATTACCTAATAGAACTTTAATCCTAAGAAAATCTCATTCACTTGAAACCCACTGGACAGTTATCATAATTCATATCAGTATCACCTTCCTTGTAAGTCACTTTACCATTTAAAATGATAACATATTATTGATTCCCACATTCCAGAAGGAAAACAAATTCCATAATTGTTTCTTTTATATGAATAGACTCATTATGCTCCTTTTAAAAACGGGACATAAAGTTACTAGTTATTACCTTGCCAACTGCTCCTAGTACTATTGTTGCATCTGAACATCCATAGACAGTCGCATATCTCAAAGGTGCTAAGATGTAGAGGGCAGACTCATGGCAATTTAGAACCTGCAATGACCAAGCATAACTTATATTAGCATTCCTATTTTGAAAATAATCTAAAGAGACCTCTCAATGTCCAAAACACACAAAGTAAGATGTATAAGGTGCTGTTTGAGAGCAAAAATAAAATAAAATAAAATAAACTTCAAATATTAGCTATCCTGACATCTATTTTCAAGGAACTAGTTATCCCAAAAGCTTTTAAGCTTAAAGATGCTCAAAACCCAACTCATCCTGAAAAACCAAACTAACTCATTCCAAACTGATGGGCTGGCATTGATTATTATATATAATCTTTTCAAATATGCCTATATAATAATATCATTAAACATATATTTTTTATGCAGGCATCCAACCCTAATTCAAGCTCTAAAGACCTTACTTGCATAACATCCGGTCAAACAGATGATTGATAATAAAACATTTCTCACTTTAGAGCTTCCTAAGTGTAGGCATATTTGAGCTAAAATCTGTCTCAAATAATTAAGTTTGCAAAGATGTTGAAAAATTCAATAGTCAAAATTAAACTGTAATAACAAATCCCTAAAAGTTTTTTCGATACACAATTTCTACCGCAAAACCAATGCAACATCTACAATTTCAGGTACAACTCTTTAATGCATATTAACAACAAGATACGTGCAGCATAAGGCAGCAATGATGTCCAACACTGACTGATGAATAATATTAAAATCATGAACCTAAATCTACATGTACATAACTTGTTCAGGCATAAAGCAGATAAACTCTAGCAGTTTCAGATTTCAAAGTTCTAGACAGAAAACTGTATCTGAATAATCCTAAAGGCAAGCATCAGTTATTTAATTGTATCAATTTGGAATATTAAGAGCTAAATAGCTACTCATTAGAAGCAGATGCCTATGTGGAATATAACTGCACCTATCAGTGGCCTTATAAGAAAAAAATAATATTTAGAGTTGCTAGCCTACTTAGAATCAATAGGTTCAATGACATATTAAAATTTGTAATCTAAAATGCAAATAACAGTATACTTGAAAAACAGACAAATATATTGAAAGAAGATGTGTATGAAACAAACCTTAACAGAGGAACCTTTAATGTCAGATGCATGTTTCATATATGACGATTTAGAGATCCCTTCAATAAAAATTGCACCTCTAGTACTTGTTGAGAGCTTAACTGAGACAGTTGCATCAGTCATAGCAACATCCTGATCAGAGGCATTAGCTGGGCCGTTTTCCTTTGAAGAAGTCCGTTCAGAAATATGTTCCAAAGCAGAAGCTATATTCTGCAAGAGCCAATCATGAACTTGTGCAGCGGGAACAGGAACAGCAGGCATGTCAGGATCCGAGTTTGCAAAAAAAGGAGAAGATTGACTCAATGAATTCCCTTCAGATCCCTTATCACCAAACTGAATTAGAAACCCAAGGTGCTCCAATCTATCCATGGTTAAAACCTATCAAATAAGCAAAATAATAATAAGATTAAGAACTATAAGAAAAAGATATAAGAGTTTAAACATTCAATAGAAAATAAATTGCTGAAAAGAAACAATTAATCAAAGAGAACATAAGAAATTTCTAAAAATTCCTTTTACTTTACTTCCGGTAACAAACTATATGATCTTAGGCTACAAAGTTGGGTCCACTAAGGAAAAAATTGGGAATCCACTGCTGTCTAAGACAATTTATCATGTCCCCAACAAAAAGGCAGTAGTCTGTTTAACTATGTGATATGTGATGACTCAACAAGTAAAAGAAAGTAAGTCTTAATGTAATTCTGGCATATCCTTTCATTATTATGATTACTATGACAGCCAAGCATATATGCATTGCCAAATGCATGTGAAACAGAATAAATTAATTAGCATAAGTGGGGGCTAATGGTAAAATCAAGAGAATTTGGCATCAACAACATAGATTAGATGGCCAACATCCTCATCAAATCAAAATAGAGATTGTCCCAAATATCAAAGAAGGAGACAGCTCACTGATAAATTGGGTATGAGCCTTAAAAATATGGATTGCACACAAGAATTTTGACCAAATACAGTAGCACTTGCACGAGATTATTATTCTTACATGCAAACCCCCATGACTCCAATTAAATCAAATGAAAGTAAGGCACACAACAGAACCATGTTTTCTGCTCTCCACAAGGATATTGCGATGCTAGTGATACGTCATAAAATCATAATACAAAGTTGCAATCATATTGGAAGGGGACACAAAAGGGTACCTATCTACTCCAAAATCCTTTAACAACCGATGTCTTCAGTGTATGCACAAAGCATATCATGTTTGAACAAAATATATGGCAATGAGCAAATAACAGTAATAAAAAGTTAATGTCATTTTACTGGAACGAAAAAAAGCATACAACAATGATACAAAACTACTTTACATGACATTCAATATCTCTTCCTGGTTTGCATGGGAAGTCACCAAAACAGTATATGAATTACAAGAATGGATCCCAAAAGATTAAAAATGTAGAATGCACCTACATGCAAAAAAAAAATTATTGAGAATATAAGAAATAATGAATTGCGGTCAAAGTCAGCAACCCATGGGAAACATGCAGTTGATTAACAAACCAGAGATTCTTCGCCTTCCCCCTCCACAGGCTCTGCTAGAAGAGACAGAATGTTAGCCAAGTGCTTTTGCAGGTAAGACAACTGATGCGCCTCTTCGTCAGCCTGCGATGGCATAAACCGCCGACTGTTGCTGCGCACAAGCTTCAACACATTCAAATCCAAATTAACACACCTTTTGAGTATCAAATCAACAGAATCACTAGAAATGAAATCGTCAGTATCAAAACGAACGGAAGAGTAACAAATGCCAGCTAAAAAAAAAAGTCCTAATCCAAGGGTTTGAATTTGATATTAACAACGAGAAATTAATCCAAAATTATAGGAATTAAGTCATGCATTAATCCAGAGTAACAGCTCCATGCACAAAACTGATCATATAGCGTCGAATAACGAATTAAATTGCGTCATGGACATTGCAAGGATCGAAAGAAAACGGAGAATTCACCTGAAGCGGCGAGAGAGCGGACAAGTAGCCATCGAAGGCGGAAGTGGAAGGCCATACGTCGGAGACGGCGGCGGAGTCCTTGTGAGTCCGCGGCAGGAGCCTCTTGTAGGATTGAATGTAGAGGAAAAGAAGCAGATCATGAACGTCGACGCCGACAGAGTCGATTTCGTCGAGCTTGGCGGTGACCAGAGGTTCGGAGTCTGAGTGCAGAGTCGAGGCCAAGGTATCGAGGACAAGCCTGGCGTGGTCAATGGAGATCTGCAAGGACTCGGAGATTGCAGCCGAGTTGACTCGCTGGTTTGAGGATAATTCTAGAAGCTTCTGCTTCAAGGGAATTAGGGTTTGCGTCGGGTCGGAGAAAATGAGCCGTGGAATGGGCAAGAGACCGTGTTCGAAGGGCTCGCGCCTTGGGTGAACCACGGTGCTTGGGTCCCTTGCTGTGGACCCCAATGAAGAAGACGTGCATGGCTCAGTTGGATCCGTCATGGCTAGAGAGAGAAAATCATGTGAAAATGAGAGGGAGAGGGAGAGAGAGAGAGAGAGTTGCAGATCTTTGAATCAGAAACAAGTAGGAGGAGAAGAGAGAGACGCGGGTGAGTTCTGGTGGGGTTCACCGTATGTGGGGGAGGGAGAGTGTAGTTGCGTGGCGCGTTCTCATTGGTTGTTTCTGAACAATGGACCAATTGGCTAAGCTTTTAAACTCCTAAGATCAGATTTAAATGCATTTTTGTACTTTAAAGGATCTCTTTTTCTCTTGCTGTGGCACGGAATTTTTCATTTTGAGGTACAAATTCTTGAGACGAGCCTCCTTCTTTTGTAGCTGCTAGTAGTAACTAAGGATTATTCTCGTTGCTGATATATTAAAGTATAGTATGTATTTATTTTCATTTCTATTTTTTCTGCTCTGTTGAATGATGTGTAATAAATAACAATTCTATTTTTCTAAACTAAAATGATTTTGATTTGGCCTTTTTTTACTGCTGGGTATGGTTCATTGGTTATGTAAATATTAGTTTAGCTTTGCTAGTGCTTGATCATACCAAATTGTGGGGTTAACCAATTGCCCTGTGAGGAGTTTTCAATGGCTAATTTAGGAAAGAGCTATTTTTCATAGCAAAATTGACTATTTCTATCAGCAACTGTTCTGAGTTATTTCACTTTTTTTTTTCTTGATTAAATATTTTCTGATTTTATTTTAAAAAATAATAATAATTTGAAACGAGAAAAATTGGCTTTACCATTCCTAATTGGCAGCTTTTCTGCCTTGAAGACATGGAAAAAGTCAAAGAGCAACATTCAACACGTATGTTCTCACTGTTACCAGTAAATTACTGGGAAGATTAAGAATATACGTGTTGAAGTGCGCAATCCGGCAGATCCATAAGCAGCAGCCAATCGCTGAAGTTAGGAATAAGAAGCAAAAATCAATTTCACTGCATCTCATGCATGTGAGATAAAACAACCTCTTTTCTGCTAAATGTTAATCAAATAGTGAAGATAAACATCAAGTCGTGTCTGCTACTCAGGCAATCCCTTCATGCAGCAAACTATTCAATAGTTATGCGCCATATCAGCTTTTTTGTCTTCAGTTATTTTACGAAATGCAAAACAGAAGGACTGAGCATAATTAACAAAAGGGAAGGAGATTGAAGAGCATGAGTCAAGAAAAAGGAAACTGTCCTTCCAAAAATGGCAGAAAGCCTATTCATTATATATGCAGTGTAAAGATTATCTTGAGGATTTATTGATCTTTTTCGTACAAATTCACAAGCACCCGTGGGAATAAATTTAAGTACTGCAATTCTTGGATCTGAAAACTTTTGGTTCGTCTTAAATATACCTTATCGATTTTGTTAATTTGGAACTCAACATGTGTAACGTGTTTTCACGCATTTGATATAACGGATAATGGGAAAAAAATTAATTTAATATTTTTTAATAAATTAATTACGCATTTATTACAGTTTTAGAAATAATTATACATTTATTGCACAATATCACGCCCAATTTGGGTGTCACCAGTCACGCCTAATGTATGCGTCACTAAAGAGGCAATCACATCTAATTTAAGCATCACTTACCAGGTGTTGACGTGTGTCACATTTTTTTTCAAAAAAAAAATTAATTTAATCGTAAAACTTCTGAAGACCATAACTTTTAACTCGGGTATTCAAATCAGGTAATTCTTTTTTCGATTCCACATAAGTTTTTGAAATTTACGCAATGACATCTCATTTGACATATTTTATTTCTCACAAACATAATTTAAATTTGCAAGAATGGTATTATAAGAACGGTTAAACCCAGAAGCATATGAATTATGGGTTTGTGATTTAATATAAAAAAATAAATAAAAATTTAATTTCTGATTTAAATTAAAGCTTTTGGCTGTTTAGCTTATGCTTCCACACTTCAACAAGGTCGTACCAAACTTTCACCTAGAGCTTCCAAATGTGTTTTTCTAGGATATAAAGAAGGCATAAAAGGTTATGTTATGTTCAATCTTTCATCAAAGGTTATTTTCATATCTAGGAATGTCATTTTCTATGAAAATCATTTCCCATTCAATCCTGTAAATCAAATTTCAAAAGATAACAAGCCTATATCCATATGCCACCCTATTTCTACTTTATATGATATACCTGAATCCATCACAAACTTACAAATAGAAGACACTTCTTTAATAACAACTCATGTACATCCAGAACCAGTTGATTCAGATCAAAATTCTTCCATAATTTCTCAAACAGAATATGTCCAACCTTCAATAATTCCTAGACGATCAACCAGAAACCACAAAGCACCAGATTACTTGACAGATTATCATGTCTCTCTATCGAATGCAATAACTGAACTATCATCAAAGTCAGGTACCATTTTTTATCCTTTATCATATGTTCTATCTTATTCTTTTTGTTCCCCTTCTTATAAAAACTTATGTCTCAATACCATGACATGCATTGAACCCAAAACATATAACCAAGCTTCAAAATTTGAGTGTTGGCAGAAAGCCATGCATGATGAACTCGTGGCTCTTAAACAAAATCATACTTGGAAGATTGTTGATCTACCATCACATACCACACCTATTGGATGCAAGTGGGTTTATAAGATAAAGCATAAGGTAGATGGTTCCATTGAAAGGTACAAGGCTAGATTAGTGGCTAAAGGTTATACCAGCCTTGAAGGGGTATACTACTTAGACACCTTTTCCCCAGTTGTTAAGCTCACCACAGTTCGAATTCTGCTTTCCATTGCAACTGCCAAAGGGTGGGATCTACAACAATTGGATGTTAACAATGCATTCCTACATGGAGACCTTCATGAAGATGTGTACATGGTCCTTCCACCAGGAATCAAATCTGAGAAATCCAATCAAGTTTGTAAGCTCCAACGTTCCTTATATGGCCTCAAGCAAGCCAATAGGCAATGGCATGCCAAACTGACCACTTTTCTGTTTTCTATTGGATATACACAGTCCCAAGCAGATCACTCCTTGCTCATACGCCAAGTTGATAAGTCTTTCACTGCTTTGTTAATATATGTTGATGACATTGTACTTACAGGCACTGACAATGATGAGATATCTCGCGTCAAACAACTCCTAGACAAGCAGTTCAAAATTAAAGACTTGGGTCCACTTCGATTTTTTTTGGGGCTTGAGGTTGCTCGCTCAAAACATGGTGTGGTCCTACATCAAAGAAAGTATGCGTTGGAACTTATCTCAGATGCTGGTTTACTTGCTTCCAAACCAACATTAACCCCTATGGATCCTGCAATCAGATTAAGCAAACAACATGGCAAGCCTTATTCAGACCCTGCTGCATACCGTCGATTGGTAGGGCGTTTGTTGTATTTAACTACTACACGTCCTGATCTTTCATTCCTTGTCCAGCAGCTTAGCCAGTTCATGGCAGATCCAAGGGACTCTCATTTTCATGCTGCCATACGTGTTCTGAAATACATTAAAGCTTCACCTTCAAAGGGCTTGTTTTTCTCCAAGCACAACAGCCTTATTCCCTCTGGATTTGCAGATGCAGATTGGGCTAGTTGTCCAGACTCTCGACGCTCTATATCAGGTTATTGTGTCTTTCTTGGAGATACTTTGGTTTCATGGAAATCAAAGAAACAAACCACCGTTTCCAGATCATCCTCAGAATCCGAATATAGAGCCTTAGCTGCAGTTTCGTGTGAGCTTCAATGGTTATCTCATCTCTTCAAGGACCTCTGCATTTCTCTTGATCAGCCTATCTCCCTCTTCTGGGACAACTGCTCCGCTATCTATCTTGCTCACAACCTAGCATTCCAGAACGCAGTAAGCATATAGAGATTGATTGCCCTATAATCAGGGAAAAAGTGAATTCTGGTTTAATTCATCTTCTCCCCATCAGTTCTGCTAATCAACTGGCTGACATCTTAACTAAGGCTCTTCGCCCTACTCCTTTCCATTTTCTATTGTCAAGTTGGGATTGAAATACATTCATCTTCCAACTTGAGGGGGGCTATCACAGTACTAGTTAATTAGTTATTAATTCATTAGTTAGTTACTGTTAGTTGGTAGTTAATGACAGTTATACACTTTTAGTTAATTGCTTCATTCTTTACTGATATAAATATCAGTACCTGTAATCGATACTTTCACTTTTCAATGTATCAGTTTCTTTTCACTTTCAATATTAATTGAAGTCAATTATGAAAACTGTTTATTTATATGATAATTATTTTCGATTAATTACACAGTTCTATTCTATTCAATTTCAATGTATATAAATAGGTGTCATTATTCTCTTAATGACAGATAAGTGCATTGCTCCATTGCCTATCTCAGACATGTACAATTGTGTCTAAATGTATATATTTCATGCTTCATATGCCTAGAATATGCTCTGTCTCACTGTTTCTAACCTCAACGGCCAAAGCCTTGCTCCAGGGAACAAAAAGAGGAGGAAAAAGCACCCATGTGATGTGATTCACTTATTGTAAAATGTTATCACTCGGTTATTTATTCACTTTGATAATAGATTAATAATTAACTTTTCATGCATGATTCATCCAAATCTTTTATGCGAAAATAAACTTGGCCGTAGCAATTTAGATAGTAATTGCGCGCTTAAAAATAAAATAACAATGATCATAGTAGATTTTTTTTTAGGAAATTTTTTTTATACTTCTGTTGAATTTTTTTTTTCACTCAGAAAAATGAGTAAATCTTTCTGTGAAAATAAGCAATAGAAAAAGTTAATCGGAATTACTGAGTCATATATAAATGTGATAAATGAAAATTTCTGCAGCAAAAATAGATATATTATATTTTTTATTTACCCAAAAATAAAAATTAATTACACAAAACCACGATAAGGTGTTAAATGAGGAATAAAATTTAAGATAAATACTAAATGAGATCCATACAGAATTTTTTTTTCACTTTCCTCGGCGACTACATTAATCTCCATTACAATTTAGACATTAGAAAATAGAGCCATCAAGATCGAAATGAAAAAAAGCTAGTGGCATGTTTAATAATTAATTAAATAAACGTCATTTAAACCAAAAACTTTTCTGGAGTCATGTGAACTGTGGTGTATCCTTTACTGTAATAGTAAGAAACCTAATATTATATGTAGGATTAGATGAATGTATTGCGCTTTGCACAGTCCAACGAAACCACTTTCTTATAAGTCTTGCGTCAGAGATTCAACGACTTTAGACATTAATAGCATCGATGTGGAAGCATACCTTAATAATTTGTTTGAGGAATCTTATATCCTCTTAATAAGTTATCTTTTAAATCTTCCTAATTTTTTGAAATACACAGCATATAAATAAAAACAATGTTTAATGCTTTTAAAAAATAATTCAAAATAAAATAAAATTATAGCTTTTAACGTCATCCTAATTCTAAAGATGAGTCAAGGGGATGTACCATATACACTTATTTTAAATATTTTTAAGGTAAATCAAATATAAGTTTAAGAAATACAATACTCTGATCAGTAATCTCAATATAAATTATTCCATCTCTAGTTTTTGTTATTAGCTATTTGTATTTTGTAATTACTTCAACAAACAGCGAAAGTGAATCTCATTTTTCCAAAATTACATAAGAATTAATGGCATGTTTGATTTTCAATAATCATAGGAAATTTTGTTTTCAAATGCTATCTTAATAAAATTTTAATTATAGTCTGTTTTAAACATAAAATAAATTAACCTTATGTCTTACTAAAAGTTACTCTAATATAGTTCTACACATGCAAATATTGTTTTATTAATACTAAACAAGGCTAGCTGTGTACAAAAAAAGGAAAAGTATCATATAATTATTCTTTTCAAATATTAAAGTTTTTTTTTTATCAGGGAAATTTGAATAATTTTATAATTTTTAATTGTAATAAGAGTTGTATTAATTTTAGAATTCATGTGTATGTGTGTGAGATTACTTTAAGTTATACGACATGATAAGTTGACAACAACTTTTTTATTAAAATTCAGATACATGTGATTACTTTTTGTTAAAATTCTAGAGATCATAATTAACTTTCGGCATGAGAACAACCTTTTTGATCAAGTAACATAAGATAACTATAATTTACAATAAATTAAGCCCAATAAGTAAATAATAACTCCAGATAATTTGTCACTATAATATGCACGCATGCAATTCAATGAGTAATATTATCTCTCTTTTCGCTTTGTTTAATTTGTGTAGCACTTGTTACACGTTAGTATGAATAGAAAATGAGTTTACAATGGGCAAGGCATGGGAAGGTTAGCTTATTTGTAAGTTTCCAACCATTGTTCGCCATCAATAAAACTTGCGTGGAGGAATGGAAATGCTTGTGTATCGTTTAATCTCTGTACATATGAGGCCCTCATGGTCAAATTTGCCCCTGGCCCAGAGCAATTATATTCTCCATAGAAGATACTCCTGCATATATTAGAAGTTTATATATGCCGACAACATAACTAACTTTTATCTTAGTTGTTATTAGGAAAAATATATTCTTATGTTATAGGAGAGAATTTTTCTCTCCTACACATACATCGATTTTTATGTTATTTTTTTTTTTTCTTCAGTGAGTGGGTCCCACACATAATTATCTCTATTGCATGAAAGAGTTCTCTCCTATTATATGAGATTAATAAAGCCCTTGTTATTAATCATATAACTCGTACACATACAAAAATGGGTAAAATGTGTGTCATTTTAAAGAATGTAAAGTTGTGTCATTTTAAGAGAGAGAAAGAGATAGATAAAGAAAGAAAGAAAGTTGACAAAAAAATAAAGGTGTGAATCTCACCTCTTTGTGAGAGTGAAATGATATAAGTTGTGTTATTTAAAAAGATAAACATTTTTTCCTGCAAAAATAGGATAAACTTACTGATCTCTTGCAGGGTCGTTGAAATCATTCCAACCTTCAGGGGCAATGATATCTGACATTGTTGTGAAGGCAAAAATAACACGGGAATATGGCCTCCATGCCCGACCCAACCATATTCTGCCGTTGCCTCCTATTGTACTGTTCACAAATGCAAATCCTGTATTTTCATCCATTGAAACTCTACCATGAGCTGTAACAGCACCATTTATGTTCCTTTGTCCCGGGGGTACTGGATTAGCTATAGAAACCAATTGACAGTTCTGTATATTGCAAGAGTAATAACAGCATTTCGATTTTAGCTATAGTTTTGGTGAAACATTAATGCCACTTTTACATCTTCCCTTTTATAATTTGTGAAGGGTCAATTTATCTTATTTATTCTATTAATAAATAATTAAGGAAAAACTTCACCAATGTTCCTATAGTTTGTTTCAGAATCATTTATGTTTCTGTGATTTTTTTTCTATCACATATGCCCCTATGCTTTGTAAAAAATAAGAAATCACAGGAGTATATGTGATAAAAAACATACCCTTTTACAAACCACAAGTACATATGTGATAAGAAAAAAAATCACAGAGACATAAGTGATTCTGAAATAAACAACATAAACATTGATCAATTTTTCCCAATAATTAAATATTATAACTTTTTATTATAGGTAGTTAGATTAGATTAGATCTGTCCTTCAAATCTAATAATTATTTATATGAAAAAAAAAATATAATATAAAATTATTAATGCAACTTTCATGCAACAGTTTACATTTTTTGAATTGATTGAGTTGACGTTTTACCCAATTCTATAACTCTGTTTTAGCATATACTATTTTTTATTATCGTACAACAAAGAAAGTTATCATTTCAATTTGGAAAAAGTGGGTGTGTTTAATTTTTTTTTCTTAAAATTATTTTGTACCATAGTTGATGACTTAATGGTTTAGTATTTGTCTTTTTAAATGACATAGAGTTATGTTATTTTAATGAGAGAAAGACACAAACAATAAAAATAATGAGAAAGGAAGTAAGTATTGTTTTTAAATTTAAATTTTAAATAAAAAATGTTGGATTATGTCTTTCTCTCATTTAAAATAACATAACTCTATTTTTTTTAAAAAGACAAATATTTTTTTCATAATTAATAAAATATGTGTTTTCTAATTTTTTTTATTTTAAAAGTTAAAAGTCAAAACACAAAGCAAAAATAACTTATATATTATTTCTAAATTTTATTCTAAAAACAAAAAAAATAGTTATAATTTTTCAAACTTTTTTTATAAAATAGGTCTTATCAAATAAGTTGTTATTTTTTTAAATTTTTTTTTTATTGTACTAAAAAAATGAATTTTTTTCTTCTGAAAATCAAATTTTTTTTTTAAAATAGATTTCAAACAGGGCATTAAAATTCTTTTTCTCTTATGCATGATACGGCCACGTAGGTATGAACATTGAGATATTCCAAGATGGATAAGATACCTCATAGAGTGACCTTGCATTGCCGAATATGAAATCAATGGAGCCTTGGATATAGCAATCTTTGAAGTAATGACGACCCTTATCATCGTGAAGGGTGTCTTGGGCTCCAAAGAATCCACAACCCCTGAATTCAGCTTGATCTCCCGATATTCTCATGGCTACAGCTTGTGCTCCTTCAACCCCAGGACTTGGAATTGGTGCTAAATTCTATTTCAAGTACGTAGTAGTTTACCAAGTTGTTAGTGTCATTGTGACATACTATATCTATTTTCCTTCATTGAGCAATTACATGCATCTAGACATACATAAAAAAGAAAAAATTATTATTCACCATGAAGCTCATGTTCTTAGCAATGAAGTTGGAGGCGAAAACTTGTACAGAGCCACTATAAAATGTGCCATTCGCGGACTTTGCAGTATCATTCCATGCAATTGCAGTTGAAGTATAGCCTTGTCCTTGAAATGTAATGTTGGGTTTGGTTCTTGGCACCATGACTTTCTCACTATAAAAAACAAATGGCACGATGATGATTGATGAGATTGAGACAAGTATTCTTAACTACCAAACTAATGAAACAAAAACAGTAAAAGGTTTAAAGGATGTTCGATGAATAATGGGAACCAATTAACTTACTAGTAGATGCCACTGTTAATCCATATTATAGTTCTTTTTTCGCTAAAATCTGGAACTGCATTCACGGCTGCTTGTACTGTTGTGAAATTACAACAGCCATTTCGATCAACACAAAGATAGGAAGTGGTATTGGTACTTGTAGGTGGAATGCCTGGTGGAAAATCATCACATATAGAACTGGCATTCCCGCTATCATCGTGTTTCTTGTGTGGTCGATGGTGATGGTTTCTGAGGAAGGTGCTAGTTAAAGGTAGTGCCAAGTATACAGATGATGATGATGACGACGACGACGACAAGGGTGTGAGACTGAAGTCTATGAAATTGTTAAGAAACTGTGGATTTGGATTTATGAGATACAAAGATGCAAAAACTGCAGCCAGGGGAACCAAATATGATAGGACATTGCTTTGGATATTCATTTGCTGATATTGGAATGTAACAGAGAGGATGAGGCTCAGAATAGTGAAATCAGTATATATATAAATAAAATATGTCAAAGATGCACTTGAAGGGAAAGGATAAATGGCATGTCTTGCAAACTACCCTTTTTCCTATTCATTATTCTTATTGCCAACCTTTACCAAACTTGCAAGTTGGCTTGCGAATTATTAGTGTTTTTTCAAGCAAACGAGCATCGTCCTTCAAACAAGCTTCTCTTAATTGTAAAATAACGTTGAACTCAATTTGAAGATTTTGGTCAATCTACTAAGCTTTCTGCTTTGCACCAATTTTTTAATCAATAAAATCCATAACCAATCCAAATAACGCCACTAATAAATGGTGAACAAACATCCGTTCCCAACTTCCCATTCCGTTTAATTGCTATATTATTAATTCAAAAGAAGTATCAATAGAGGGTCACAAAGGTGCCATGTTAACTTTCTTTAGTCAAATATATAAAAAAGAGTGCAGAGCCCTACCAAACTTGCCAGCAGGATCAACAAATAATAGTCCAAAAAAGTGCAAGTCTGAAATTCCATCGTTGTCCTTTCCCAATTACCCTTTACAATTTGAGAATCCAACGATGGAGATGGACTAATGAGAGAGAAACATACAAAATTTATTGTGACGTAACTCATTACTTAAGTAAGAATCCATGAGTTTTATTAAGATATTACTTTATGTACTCCTCTTTCATAAATATATAACATGTTCTAAAAAAAATATGAGATGATCAAGTCACTTACCCACCAGGGACAGGGATATATAGGATAATCTCAAAAAAAACAAACATGTAGTGGCACACGTGTGACTACCGACTGCAGTGTTTCGCACGCGGGAAGCGGGTCCACCGCCACTCCTCCACCACCTTATACAGCAACTGAGGTCTAGCACTGTGCAAAAAAGCAAAGGAGGGAGCTTCTATGTATATTTTACATAGATTCATTAGATCCTAGCCCCACGGTAACAACATAGAAAAGATAAAGCAGATACATACCCTGCTTTCTGTACTCTCTTTCCTTTTTTTGTGCTAGTACTGTCCTCTCACACCCTCTTATCTCTTCCGTCTCAATCTCTCTCACAATCCCAAGCTCCATTTCCTCTGCTTTTTCTTCAAAACAATCATCCCCATTTCAGTAGAAACCCATGCTCTCCAAGGTAACTTCTTGGCATTTTAGTTCTTAAACATAAAAAACCTTCCTTTTTTCACTCTTTCTTCTTCTCCTCTTCTACTTCATGATTTGAGCTTTGCTGAGAATTTGTCAGATTTTTTGTTCATGCCCTCTTGCTATTTACAGCACCAATTTGGTACAAAATTAGATTTTTAATTATTTTTTGTTAATTTTTTTTTTGGTAAAATCTGTTAAAATGAAAAGGATATAAATCTGCAGAAATCGGAGTTTGCAGGTTTTTCTTTAATTTTTTTTTTTTAGGGTGGTTGGGTAGCTTAAAAAGTGCTGAAACAAGGGAAGTAAACAAAGGGTGATGTTTGTTTCCGGAAAAACAGTGCGCTAGAGTTAAAGAGAGTGGTTATTGTTTCTCATGAGGATCTTAGAATGTAAAAAGTATGGAACTTGGAAGTGTTACCCCTTCATCTCATGCTGCATTCTGTCGGCAACTACCCTCGAACATTCTAGGTTCAGATTGTTTTTATGTGCCTTTTGATGTATTCATTTATGTTTTTTCCCTTTCGATTTTGTGCTTTTAGAATAAACAATCGGATCTAAAAGCGTCGAGTAAAGCTCTTAATACAGTTAAGCTTACTTCTAAGCCTTCACACTCTTGGCATAATCAGAGATCTATGTTTGCATCAAGTGATTATGCATTAATTACAACTTTTGAGTTTCCTTATATCGTTTGTGTATTTTAAAGTTTCCCGAATATTTAGGTGACTCGATTTGGTAGCCAGTAACGGCTTATTTGACTGTGTTTTCCTGTTTTTTAGGCTCCTTGGAACCGTTGAGTTTTTATTCAAAACACTTTCCCTGCGACTGGAACATTCAATATTTGAAATTGTTCTGCTCCAGCTTCCTTTTATTTGGAATTTGGGTGTTTTGATTCTTTGAACCAAGAAAATGCAGAGGCCTCCGCCAGATGATTTTCTATTGAAGGAGACCAAACCCCACCTTGGAGGGGGAAAGGTCTCTGGTGACAAGCTTACTAGCACATATGACCTTGTTGAGCAAATGCAGTACCTTTATGTAAGGGTTGTGAAGGCTAGGGACTTACCTGCAAAGGATGTCACTGGCAGTTGTGACCCTTATGCTGAAGTCAGGCTGGGAAACTACAAAGGCACCACTCGGCACTTTGAGAAGAAGACTAATCCTGAATGGAACCAGGTTTTTGCTTTCTCGAAAGACAGGATTCAGGCTACCGTCCTGGAGGTTACTGTGAAAGATAAGGATGTTGTGAAGGATGACTTCATTGGTCGTGTCTGGTTTGACCTCAATGAGATCCCGAAGCGGGTTCCCCCGGATAGCCCTCTGGCACCACAGTGGTATAGACTGGAGGACAGGAAGGGTGAAAAGGTGAGGGGAGAGCTAATGCTGGCCGTTTGGATGGGGACACAAGCTGATGAAGCATTTCCTGAAGCGTGGCACTCTGATGCGGCAACTGTTAGTGGGACTGATGCTCTTGCAAACATTAGATCCAAGGTGTATCTATCTCCTAAGCTTTGGTATTTGAGGGTTAATATAATAGAGGCACAAGACTTGCAGCCAACTGACAAGGGTAGATACCCTGAGGTTTCTGCGAAGGCTATTCTGGGAAGTATGATGTTGAGGACTAGAGTCTCTCAGAGCAGGAGTATCAATCCAATGTGGAATGAGGATTTGATGTTTGTGGCTGCAGAACCATTTGAGGAGCCCCTGATTTTGAGTGTGGAAGATAGAGTTGCCCCTAACAAAGAGGAACTTTTGGGGAGGTGCATAATTCCTTTACAGATGGTGGAAAAGAGACTAGATCACAAGCCTGTGAACACTAGGTGGTTTAATCTTGAAAAACACGTTGTTGTTATGGAAGGGGAAAAGAAGAAAGAAATCAAGTTTGCAAGCAGGATTCATATGAGGATCTGTCTAGAAGGTGGTTACCATGTTTTGGATGAATCAACTCACTACAGCAGTGATCTTCGCCCAACAGCGAAACAGCTGTGGAAGTCCAGCATTGGAGTTCTTGAATTGGGGATATTGAATGCTCAGGGTTTGGTGCCAATGAAAACAAAAGATGGGAGGGGGACAACAGATGCTTATTGTGTTGCAAAATATGGGCAGAAGTGGGTACGGACAAGGACAATCATTGATAGCTTCACACCCAGGTGGAATGAGCAATATACTTGGGAGGTTTTTGATCCTTGCACTGTCATTACAATTGGTGTATTTGATAACTGTCATTTGCATGGTGGTGATAAGGCCGGAGGGGCAAAGGATTCAAAAATTGGGAAGGTACGAATTCGTCTTTCCACCCTTGAGACGGATCGAGTCTATACACATTCCTATCCGCTTCTAGTTCTTCATCCAAATGGGGTGAAGAAAATGGGTGAAATTCACTTGGCTGTAAGGTTTACTTGTTCTTCTTTGCTTAATATGATGCACATGTATTCACTACCCTTGTTGCCTAAGATGCATTATATTCATCCATTGACTGTCAGCCAGCTTGACAATTTGAGGCATCAAGCTACTCAGATTGTTTCAATGAGACTGAGTCGTGCCGAGCCACCATTGAGAAAGGAGATAGTGGAATATATGCTGGATGTGGGTTCCCACATGTGGAGTATGAGAAGAAGCAAGGCCAACTTTTTCAGGATTATGGGAGTTTTGGGTGGATTAATTGCTGTAGGAAAATGGTTTGATCAGATTTGCAATTGGAAAAACCCCATCACAACTGTTCTAATACACATCCTGTTTATAATATTAGTCATGTACCCTGAGCTTATCTTACCCACAATATTCCTTTACCTCTTCTTGATTGGAGTTTGGTACTACAGATGGAGGCCAAGGCACCCTCCTCACATGGACACTCGTCTCTCCCATGCAGATTCTGCACACCCCGATGAACTAGATGAAGAATTTGACTCATTCCCAACATCTAAACCTTCTGACATAGTGAGGATGAGATATGATCGACTTAGAAGTATTGCTGGGAGGATACAAACTGTGGTTGGTGATTTGGCAACTCAAGGGGAAAGGCTTCAGTCTTTACTCAGCTGGAGGGATCCAAGAGCTACTGCACTTTTTGTCATTTTCTGTCTGGTTGCTGCCATTGTTCTCTATGTCACTCCATTCCAAGTTGTGGCACTCCTTACTGGAATTTATGTATTGAGACATCCCAGGTTCCGACATAAGCTTCCTTCTGTGCCACTGAACTTCTTCAGGAGGCTGCCTGCAAGGACTGACTGCATGCTTTGAGTTCAACCTGTCATGGAAAGTTCAGAAACAAAATGGAGCTTTGCTTTACTTTTATTGTTCAGCATCATATTTTTTGGATTTGCAGTTCATTATGTCATAGGATTTTATGTTTTGAACTTCATGATAGTGTCCTTATTATTAAATTTGTAATTTTGTAGGCTGTGGGTTGAAATTAACTTCTGCTTAATCAACTTGTTAAATTAAATGTAGTAAATCTTCTCGGTGGAAGTTTGAACTTATAACCTCAAATGGAAAGGAGTTGTTTTCTGTTTCATCTCCTCTGAGCTTTTCGAAGTTGCTGTTTCATGTGTTGTCTTTTGAAACAGGTGAACAAAACCCATTATTTTTTGGTGCACAAACCAAACCACTATCTAGTCTCATTTGTTTATGAATAACCTTGCTTGTTCTTCGTTTTGGTTGTCTGCAATTTTCTGACAATACAATTTTGTAATAAGCTTGATTGGTGTACATGTGGGTATCGTTCCCTCTGGACTGTGACATTAAAATAAAGAAACCGTATCTGTATTGTCCGTTTTGCTATGCTACCTAATTTATTATGCTTGGATTCAAGTTGGGGGACAATAATTCTAGCAGTGGGACAGAGTCGACAGACACAAATGCTTCCGCAATGACTGGGTTATGTTTTATTTTTTTCTCCTTACAAAAATGTTTGCATTGATTGCGTTACAGGATTCAACCTTAGAATTTAAATAAGGACGAATCATACGTTTATTAAATTTAATTATTGAGTTTTATTAATCTCATGATAAAGGAGATAAGTTATTTCATATCATAGAGATAAACTTATGGGTTTCACCATCTGAAAAAATAAAAAAAATAAAAGAAAAAGATGACACAGTTATCGAAGTATGTGTAGGAGAGAAAATTTATCTCAAGTAATATGAGAATAGTTTTTTTCTTAATTATTCTACTTAAATGTGTAAACTTTATTAAAAAAAGTATATACTTGTTTATTATATTTAAATGAAGGGTTTGATATTTTTTTATGTTATAGGAGATAATTTATTTTTCACACTTATAAAAATACGTGGAGTTCATGTGGGGTAATGTGAAAAGAAAAAAAAATATGAATTTTATATATTTTTATATGATAAATATTATTCTTTTTTTATATAAAATAACTTTTCTCATTTCTTTTACTTAAATTTTCACACCTCACTTTTTTTTTTGTAATGATGGGATTCATTTATTTTTTCTCTATAATATAAGATAATTATCTTATATAAAAAGAAAATAATAAAATCTTTTTTATATACGTGTAGAAGATAATTTTATTTTTTATAACACAAAACGTGAATAAGTGAATATGCAAATATATGACGGATTAATAAACCTGATGGACTCTTTTGGGAGAATGTGGCTTCGATTGAAGGGCCATAACATAAATGATCGAGATCAGGACCAAATTTTAGGAGTTGTGACCGTAAGCTGAAAAAACAAAAGCTGCTCATTGTTTTTTGAGATTCTATGGTTGGTTTATGATTTTTATGGAGGTGGGGACCTATCACATCACCCTCCCTCTTCCCTTTAGTTTTTAGCTTTACAGACTGTATATTACTTTTCTTCCTCCAATTTTTCTGTTTTTTAGTGCATGACTGCATGTGTAGACAAAATCTACCTCTGCTACTCCCACCGGGCATAACTCTTCCCGAATAAAAGCACGATAGAGGGGGTAAAATCTAAAATGTCTTGTTGCTGTGATCCCCTACCTCCACTTTGTATAAAAAAAACACAGAGAAATAATTTGATTTTTATATTTATAAATTATTTGCAGCATATTTTTATATTATTTTAAATAAATTAATATGTTAAAACTCTACTTATTAATAAAATTTAAAATATTAACTTTTGTATGATATAAATATGAGTAAATTCTAAATTGGTATTTCAAAAATTATGACATTACAACCCTAATTTTAAAAAACTAAAATAATATGATATTTTTCTTTTGTAAATAATTAAATTAATTGCATAAAAAGATAAATTCATTATTATTTTATATTTTTAAGTATAAAAATTTAATTTAATGACGTATTTTTTTAAAAAATTGATTTTTGAAGAATTAATTAAAAATTTACTCTAAATTAAAAAAATTATACCATAATTAACTTTATTTGTACAAAGTAAAATTTTTTTTAACCACGATTAACGAGTTGGAAATATCATGGAACAGGAACAAGACTCTCCGTCCCATTTGCTTTTGCTTTGGCGCCATAGAATAGGTTTGGTGGAACTTTGGGAGCAATTTCTCTTTCCCTTACTTAACAGAGAAGTTAGGAAGATTTTGTTGCTTTAAACAAAAAAAAAAAAAAACGAAGATGAAAGGTTCGGAACACTTTTTCGTATGTTATTCGGTTGCAAAATTGTCTTATGGTGATAATAAGAGACATCATCACTTTTTTATTTTTTATTTTCGGTGACAAGAGAGTGAGAGACATCATCATTTTAAATTAGTGTAAGAAGAAAGATATTATATATTTATAGAGGAATGATGTGTTTATAATTTTTTTTTTTTTTACAAATTACATTAAGTGTGACCAGTCATACACTCTTAATTAGTGTATAATCAATCAGACATAGTACAATTGTAAACAAAAAGTTTGTAAATATAACTTTCTCCATATTTATATTAATGATTGCATGACTCTTTTTATCTATTTTTGGAATTTTATTTTATTTTTTTGCTAGAGAGATACAAATGATCCAAAATAATTAATATAACATCACATATCCCCATCACCTAATACCTTAAGTTTTTTGAGTTGAAATAATTTTTATCATAGTATAAAAATTAGAGTGAGTAGAAGTCATGACTCCGATGTTCATCGCACCCACTCAATGACGGACCCAGGTGGTTGCCATTGCCTGCACTTGCAGACATAAAATTGAGGGAACAAAATTCAAATGGGATGTGTGATTCAAGTCAAGTAAAAAATAAATAAATAAAAAATTGAAAGAAAAAAGGTAAAGAGTGGAGGAGAATCACATGAGATTTTTCACCTTTTTTTTTGTGAAACAAAACTGGTCAACTTTAGATCAAATAGACATCGATAAAGATGAGTTTTTTTATCGATTAACCCTTACAATTATACTATATTTTACAAATGTCTTTTTGTGGTGTTTATTTATTTTTTAGGAAAAGTTCATCAATGTCCTTGTAGTTTGCTTTAGAATCATCTATGCCCCTGTATTTTTGTTTTATCACATATGCCCCAGTGATTTGTAAAAAGTAAAAAACCACAGGGCCACATGTGATAAAAAAATATACCATTTTGTAAATCACAGGGGCATATGTGATAAAAAAAACCATAGGAGTATAAGTGATTATGGAGTAAACCATAGGAGCATTGGTTAATTTTTCTCTATTTTTTAATTATCATTATCCATTATTTCCTTAAAACTTCGGTTAATTTATCAAAGCTTTATTTTTGAAGTGGAAGCAAAAATTGGATCATGATTATGATCTTTAAAAAAAATGGGGAGTGGCGCCCCCGAACCTTCGCCCTAAATATGCAGACATAAAAAAAAATTTCTAAACCCGCCACTGCACCCACTTTAAGGTGAAATTAGAAAAAAAATATAAGATAAACTAAAAAAAAAAAAAAATAGGCTCAGCACAAGATAATGTTAGACATATCCACACTGCAAACTCAAAAGACTCTTGTTAGGAGAGTGTGTTAGACAGATTTTAAAAATACAAAATAATTAATTAATTTTCACCTAAAACCTTAAAGTTATTTTTTTTGGACAAAAAACCTTAAAGTTTTTGGTTAAAATAGTTGTTATCAATTTTCTTAATAAGTTAATCATTAGATTTAATTATGGGGTTTGATTTTCTCATGTTAAATGAGAGTTTAATTCTCATGTTGTAGAGATAAAAAACATGTGGGACCCAGGTGTTAGAAAAAATTATATGTAAGACCTATGTCAGCACGGAAATCGAAGGGTGTGTAGGAAAATTTGAATTCTCATGTTAAATGAAAATTATAAAACCCTTTAACTATATCAATGACTCAGTGAAATGCAAGACCTTTATTCTTCTACTAATATAAAATCATTATTCTTCCTAAGTTCCTATAATGAAAAGCTTATACGATTGCAACTGACCCATCTTAAGATACTTATTTACGTTTAAGTAAAATAAGAATGGAAAATTATTTGTTATCAAAAAAAAAAAATAAGAATGGGAAATTATTTTTTCTTGTAATAAGAGATAACTTTTTCATATTGTGAGGTATTAAAATTTATCCTATCCTTTTTATTTTTTCTTATTTTTAACAAATGTTGAGCCTCATTATTTATTGTATTTATGACATGAGAGATATTATTTCATGTGACATGAAAAAAGAGAAGTTCAATAAAAATTCAAATTCTAGAGAAACTTTCAATTTGTACTGTTACGAAAACACGTTAAAAATAAATTACGGAAAATGTATAATATCACATAAAATTAATACTCTTTCACTTGGTTTTTAATTTCTATAATGATCTGATTTTTTTTATTTTTTTGGAAATAATCTGATTTTTTTCAAAAAAGAAAGAAAGAAAGAAAGAAAAAAGTAAAACACACGACAAGGTCATTGCACATTCAGTATAAATTTTCATCACTTAAACACCCTTCAATTTTTAAATATTTTATATTATAATTTAAAGTAATAAAAAAAAGTGTTTGTCCTTTTAAATGATATAACTTGTATCATTTCACTTTCATAAAGAGGTAGTATCCACACTTTTATTTTTTTGTTCACTCTCTCTCCTCCATGATTTATCTCTTTCTCTCACTTAAAATGACACAACTTTACTTCCTTTAAAATAACACATACTTTTTCCTAAAATAATTGATAAGAAACCCCTGAGAGTGATGAGACGGACCCATCAAAGAATATGGACTCCAAGATTGTTTCTATGTTGAAGTTTAAGGTGAAAAGACCGCGACCTGTTATCTATAAAAAGAGGTAAGACCTCGATTTAGTTGAAAACAAAACGGTGGTGAAAATTCGTTAATAAGTTGAAGGATGAATGTCACGGAAGGATTTCGATAATTCTAAACAAAGGGAAAACTCTCAAAATTATGAATAAAATGTTTGTCCCCATTCACATTGATAGTTTGCTTTTTGATAGACTTTTTACACTCCAAATTCAAAAATCAAATCTTAATACTACAAATTAAATCAGAAATAAATATGCTAAAATAAGAAAATATCCTAACAAAATTCAAATACTAT